TGTTTGGACTGTTTGAGTGTGCAGGGACCATTCTCCGGGGGAAACAAGGTTCCTGGACAGCATGTCTGGACCGTAGTTCAGATGGCCCGGTACGTGCGTCGCTCTGAGCGAGAGCAGGTGACTCTGGGATCACAAAAGGATGCGCCGCGTCAGATGAAAGAGATTCTTGGATCTGACGCCGCCCTGACGGTTGATGTATGATACCACGGCCATATTGTCTGAGCGAATCAGGACGTGGTGACCGTGTATGCGCGGGAGGAAAAACAGCAGCGCGTTCTCGACTGCGATCATTTGTAGACAGTTTATGTGTAGGGAACTCTCGTGGCTCGACCACTGGCCGGCGGCCGGTGAGCCCTCGCAAACCGCACCCCAACCCGAGTTGGATGCGTCTGTCGAGATGCCTTTCCGGCGAGAAAAAGTACCCATGGTAACGCCCCTCTGAAACCACTCGATTACTGACCATGGCTGCAGTGCAGTGATACATGTCTGAGTAATCTTGATCATCTGGCGGCCCGTAGCCCACTCGCGGTGGGATACGCGGCTCTTTAACCAGAGTTGAAGGGGGCGCATGTGCAGAAGACCCAGCTGTAGCACAGCGGAGGCTGAGGCCATATAACCCAGCATCCTCCGAAAAGATTTCAGGGATGTGTGGGTACCCATCTGAAAGGAGGCGGCTAGACGCTGAACACGGTGCGCGCGCTGTGTGGATAAGCGAGCCGTCATTGTGATAGAGTTCAAATCTATTCCAAGGAATGAAATAGTTTGACTGGGCTGGAGAGAGCTCTTTGTCCAGTTGACAGAGAGTCCCAGCGCTTCCAGATGGTTGAGGAGAACTGCGCGGTGCGACAGAAGCTCCGTCTGGGAATCTGCTAGAATCAGCCAGTCGTCCAGATAGTTTAGAATGCGCAGCCCCTGACTTCGCAGGGGAGCGAGCGCTGTATCCATGCACTTCGTGAACGTACGGGGTGCTAAGGATAGGCCGAACGGGAGAACGGCATATTGGTAAACCTGACCCTCGAAGGCGAAACGTAGGAATGGCCTGTGATGAGGGTTTATCTGGATCTGAAAATAGGCGTCTTTCAGGTCTAGAGAGATGAACTAGTCCCCCTGGCGGACGTGCGCGAGGAGTTTCTTGACTGTGAGCATTTTGAACGGTCTCTTCATGAGCGCTTTGTTCAAAGCCCTGAGATCTAAGATCGGCCTGAGGCCGCCGTCTTTCTTGGGAACCAGAAAGTAACGGCCGTAAAACCCCGACTCGGTCATAGATGGCGGGACTCTCTCTATTGCGCCCTTCTGCAGCAGCTTGGCTATTTCTGAGCGAAGCGTGTTCATAGCAGCCGGGCTGACAGTGGATTCGAGCCGCACGCACAAGCGTGGCGGGCGGCGACGAAACTGTAATCGATAGCCATTCTTTATTATGCTTAAAACCCACGGGGAGATGCCGGGGATGGCTTCCCACGCTTCGCAGCATGCGGCTAGCGGTTAAATTGGCGATTTCGCCCTGATTGCTGCACATAGCGGGCTGGGCACTGGGTGTGGGCGCGCTTATAATGTGGTTGGCAAAGGGACTTACACTCAGAGAGGAGTTTATGGGCCGTGTGACAGAGCGAGCAGAGGGGGGACACGCGCATGGGCTCGTGGGCGTGTTTATGTTCTCTGCTACTAGAGCGGATAGTGCTCGCTCCGTGAGAATGGGCTCTGTGTGAGACCCGGGGCATATGGTGCTTGTGTGTATACGGGAGCACATGCTTGTGGGCACATTTTTTACACTTGAGGCTTTTATGCTCTTTTTGTGAACTCTCTGGGTAGCCGTGAAAACGGCTTTTAGTCGCTCGCAAGCGGGCAGGGAGACCGGCTTGTTTGTGGCGGTGAACTCTACTGTAGTCGGCGATGAGACGGGGACTAACAGAGGGCGAAGCTTTGACGGCGGTCCGGCCGCAGCGGGAGAGAGCTGTCTTTTTCTCAGCTGTGCTAGGCAGACTTCTGTTGATCAGGCTTCAGCGTGATCTTGGGTCGAGGCCCCCGGGGAGGAGGCTGTCTGTGGCGGCTGTCAGAGCGAGAGCGAGGGCGGCCGCCCTGTCTACGCTGGGGCTGCTGAGCTTGCTGAGGCGGGCGCTGATGTGGGGTTCTGGCAGGTGGCTTGTGAGAGCGGCCTGCCGAAGAGCTAGCGTGGCGGGGCAGGAACAAGTTCATGGCCTGGGTCGCTTTCTGTACCTCGGAGAAGCGGTCAACGATGCCCGTGACGGCAGATCCGAAGAGACCGGTCGGAGAGATAGGCGCGTTGAGGAACACGGCGCGTTCTGAATCTCCCATGTCGGTAAGCGTGAGCCACAAGTGTCTCTCAGCGACACAGAGGGCGGCCATGCATTTCCCCAGGGCTTGTGCGGCGGCTTTAGTGGCGCGAAGGGAAAGATCCGTAGCGCTTCTCAGATCCGAGAGGATGGGTGGGTTCCTACCGCTGTTCGCCATCTCGCACAAGATGTCGCTCTGGAGCACTTGGAGGACTGACATGGAATACAGCGCTGAAGCGGCCTGTCCGGCAGCAGCATAGGCGCGAGCATGAAAGTTGGAGGTCGCTCTGCACGCTTTAGAAGGAAGCGTAGGGGAAGAACGCCATCTAGCAGAGGGCGGGCAAAGATGAGCGGCGACCAGGTCCTCGACGGGCGGCATGGCAGTATAACCCTTCTCGGCGGCTCCATCCACTGAGCGCAGCGAAGCGGACACATTGGAGCGGTTACGAGCCGAAAGAGGGGCATTCCAGGACTTTGTGAGCTCGTTGTGCAGCTCAGGCAGGAATGGTGCAGCCCGGCAGGAATTTTTCATCCATGCGGTTTGGTGGTTGCTCAGGGGGGGGGAGGAGACCACTCGAGACCCAGGCCGTCGACGGCCTGTGAAAGGAGGCACGTTAGTTCCTCCTCGATGCCGGCGCGGGTCCCCGCAGACTCTCTCGTCGATGAGCCAATCAACGACCAATCCTCGCTGTCAGAAGCGTGCAGCGAACAGGAGTCCTTCTCATCCGCGGTGTCGTCGGAGGCGACAAAGCGGCCACTCGGCAGCAACTGTATGCCCGGCTGGGGCGGAGAGGGAGAGCGGTCGGTGGGCGGCGGCCCGCATGGATCCGCAGGGGGCTCCGGCGGCCTCTGGGAGCGGCGTTTCTTCTTCCGCGGCGAAGTGAGAGGCGGCGCGGGAGCGGTTTTGACCGCCTCCAGTCGTGCCCGCAGGGAGGACAGAGGCAGGTCCTCGCAGTGGTCGCATCCTCTGTTGGCGAGGGCGAGCTCTGCGTGATCCACTCCGAGACAGAGAACGCAGATGGGGTGGCGGTCTCCTTCCTCGAGTGAAGAGCGGCATGAGCCGCAGGAAATTCGAGGCATCTTGAAAAAGACGCTTGGCTCTTTTGTGAATGGGAATGGAACAAAGCATACGCGTCGGATGGTGCTAGCTTGCTGGGCGGCTGAAGGTGGCAGACGGCCGGCTTCCTCAGACTCCGGAGCTCGCTAGAAGATGCCTTCTCGACGACGGCGGCTTCTTCCCAGGACAGCGGATGCGTGTAGCTCGCTGAATGATGAAGAATCGACGAACGAGCCTGGGAGAGCTACCTTTATACACTGTAGCCACGCCCCTTTTGGTGGGCTCTGACGCAATGAGCGAGCGCCGTCCGCTCATTGGCCGCGGACTCAGCGCCGTTCTCCCATAGGTTCGTGCATTCTCTCTGAGCGAGCCAATGAGCCGCTAGCTAGCCCGCTCATGGTCTGCCTCAGAAGAGACTGCGTTGACAATGATTACAAAATTATGGAATAATTTTTTGGCTTCAACTTCTCAGCAAAGATGAATCTTTCCCGTAGCGTAAGCTAGCTTACGCAATACGAGAGAACCTCTCGTAAGAGAACTCCCTTTGCAATCGTGACAGTGGTGTCATTTTTGTTCAATGTAGAACCTCTTTTATAAATTGTATCAGCTCTTTAAAGGTGCCAGAGTGGACATTCAGGCACTGGGGCGCTCGAGACTCGACTCGGACTTGAACTCAGGTAATGGTGACTCGTCTTGGACTCGACTCGGACTCTTCTTTGGTGACTCGGACGTGGACTCAGACTCGAACACTGGGACTCGAGACTTGACTCGGACTCAACAGTTGGTGACTCGACTACAACACTGCATCAAAGAACCCAAAAGTTATAGGAGAAGTCATCATCGGACGACGATGGACTACCCAGAAGAAGAAGAAGAAGTGTGTGTGTGTGTGTGTGTGTGTGTGTGTGTGTGTAGGCCTATAAGCCTCCACTCATGCTGATTGGCATGTTGATTACTGATTTTTGACGGCTGGTTGGAATGACTTGATGATTGGATAGATAATTTGATTAGATAATTTGGAGTACTAGGAACAATCAAGTTTGGAACAATTGGAACAAAACTCAATTTACATTGACTGTAATACTGATGCTGTCTTATAGAGGGGGCCACAGATAAGAAAATATTTTTTAAAGCTCTATTTCCTTCAGTTAAAAATGGCAAATAAAAGCACACTTCGAAAGTGCTCCACTAGTTATGTGTAATTTATCAATAAAATAGCTTAGAAACCGATAAGGTCTTGCATATATTGCTTTATGTAACTAAAACCCACAGCTTCGCTGTTAGTAGAGACAAGCTGCACGGACCGGTAAGGATTCATTTAGACAAGCAATCACTTTCTCACCAATGCTTTAAAATGTGCTTACTGTTCTACTTTATAGTATCTGTTTGAGAATGAACAGAAATAACTGAAAATAAGCTGTTATGCCGGAGCAATAGTGTGTGGGCAGCACTCGGACAGGTGCCACTGCTGTGCACGAGGCAACACAGGTGTAAATAGCTCGAGGTTCAGGTTACTCCAACATTACGTTTGTCCACAAACTTTAGAATTTAGTTGCAAGGCATTCCCTGATTAGTCAACGTTAACTTGACTCCAAGCACCTAAAAGGCGACTTTAAAAGTCTAAAAACGGCAAAATCTACAAATTTTGTCACCTGATGAGAGGCTCTGGTGATGGTGTTCACAGTCAGGCTAACAGGAAGAGTGCTTTGTATGTTGTATTTAAGGAGGGATGTCCTAGCTGTGGTGATGGCTTCATGACTGTCGACCGGCAGCAGCACAGGACAGTCTGGACACGTCAGACGTAACTTCTCTGGAGGGTCTTGGGGAAAAAAGAGGGAGAGAGTGAGTAGGATAAAAGACAAATCTGGAATTGGAATTGCATTGCAGTTGTTAATTTCACAAAAGAAAGAAATGTAAACTTTTTTATCAAGAATCGAAAAATAAAATAATTTTCAGTCATGGCCCTTGCTAATAAACAGAATTTGCACTTGCTATTGAGCAGTATCAATAAAAGCATTTTTTCAATGGCATCCCGAATCGTGTTGAAGGATTCACACTGTGTATTTGTTCGGAGCATTTGATTGTTGATTGTTTTGCAATAGAGGCACCGTATAATGCAGAGTTTGCAAAGAAACTTTTGTTGATGAAGCAGCCGATATATATACAGGGGTTGGACAAAAAAACTGAAACACCTGGTTTTACTACACAATAATTTGTTAGAATGGTGAGGGCCTCATTTTGCATCCAAATACAGCACCAATTGACAGATAGAAGTCCTTCACAGTGACCAGAGGGATTATGAGCCGTTCCTCTTCCAGAACAGTGTCCAGGTCACTATATGATGCTGGTGGACTCGCTCCTCCAAAACACCTCAATAATATTCAGATCTGGTGACTGTCAGACCATGGGAGATGTTCAACGTCACTTTCATCTTCATCAAACCCTTCTGTCACAAGTCTTGCTGTGTGTGTTGGTGCATGATCATGCTGATACACGGTTTGAGCATCAGGTGCTCATGAACCTCCAGAAGGGTTTGGTAGTCCTCGGCAGTGTCGTGTCCATCAAATACAATCAGGATTGTCATGATATTGGAGCTCAAACCATCACTGATCCACCCGTGCTTCACTCTGAAGATTGGCCGCCATGCATATAGATGTGAAACCTCCAACATTGGCCAGTGTTTCAGTTTCATTGTCCAACCCCTCTATATGTATACAGTATATATATATATATATATATATATATATATATATATATATATATATATATATATATATATACATTGTTTTCAAATTGAAGGACAACATTGGTAAGGAAGTTACATTTAGTAAATAAAATAAAAATTAAAATAAATTTATTTTTAAAATTCATTTGTTTGATTAATTGATGATATAATCAACAAATTAATACATTTTGAAAATAACCTTCAGTTTTACACAAGATAAAAAAACATTTCTACTTATTAAGGTTGAGAGTTCCTGTATGCAGGGAACTCCTGTAAATGTGTGCAGTCAGAAACGGAGATAAATACTTGACCTGGAACAAGTGTGCAGTCATAGCTGTGGAGGTATGAGAAGCCTTCTGGTGTGTGGAGGACTGTGGTATTACAGTTTCCAGAGATTTGCTGCAACACAAGGAACATATATTAATTGTACATCTACCAATCTAAACCAATCAGACACATTATCTTTTCAAGACATAGTAAAATCAGAGATTCTGCAAACCATCTGCACTGAGTTACTTGATAAATAACTTCAAGGTAGAAGTTTGATTAAAGGATACTCCACCCAAAAATGAAAAATCAGTCATCATTTACTCACCCTCAACTTGTTGCAAACCTGTATGAGTTTATTTCTTCTGCTGAAAACAAAGGAATATATTTTGAAGGACGATTGGAACCAAACAGTTGTTTAGCACCATTTACTTCCATAGTAGAAACAACAACAAAATACTAAAGAAGCCAATGGTGCCAAAGTTCCAATCATTCTTCAAAATATCTTCCTTAGTGTTCAGCAGAAAGAAAAAAAAAACTCTTACAGGTCCGCAACAACTAAATGATGACAGAATATTCATTATTGGGTGGAGTATCCCTTTAAAGGGGTAGTCATATGATACTTTTTAATGTTTTCCTTTTCCTTAATGTATCTGTTCATGTATAAAATCTGCAAAGCTACAAGCGTATAGTCTGCTATAAAGGGAATTTATTCTATCTAACAAAAAGTACTGGTCCAGACCTGCCTAAAACACCTCAATCCAACCCTGCCTTCGCATGCTATCTGAATTATCAGAAATGCGAGTTTCATGGACAGAAAGACTTTTTCCCAGTCAAGTTGTATTTACTATTGGGAAACTCAGAGTTTCAGAATTGGGAGTGCCACCTTAGTCATCAGTTTCTAACCACAACAGCTACATCACCTTGTCATGTTGTTCATGTAGTGCATATAAGCCGAGCATGTTTATAAAGTACATAGCCAAAATTGGCAGTCACGTAAATTGTATTTCACAAAGTTAACTGCTTAAGTATTTGTTCTGTAGACTATTTTGTGACATGATTCTGGTACTGGTCAAAAATGTAAAGGGTTTTATAAGGGAAAAAAACATGCAAAGAAATGTATCAATGATATATCAATATTTACAGTGTTGACCCTTCTTCTTCATAACCTTCACTCAGGCATGATTCTCGGCCAAATCCTGACTGATAGCCATCCATTCTTGCCTTATTACTGGTTGGAATTTGTGAGCTTCTGCTTGTTCTGTCACGATCACACACACAGGAGAGAGAGATCCAATTGCAGTTCATTTATTGGGATAATCCATACTCACAAACCAGTCCAGGCAAATTTTCAAAAAACCAAAAGCGCAATCCAAAAACTACCAAGAAACAGGCAAATACATGACACAGAATTGTGAGGACATTAAACAAGGACCCCGTGACAAACACTGAAACAGACAGGGTATATATACACAAACACTAACAAGGTGACAGGAAACAGCTGTGTGCAATGAACAATGAGTAACAGAACAGGATGATGGGAAATGTAGTAAGTGTAGGACACTGTGCGGGAAGAGGACCTCTAGTGGTTACCCAGGGTAACACAAACCAGACACTATGACATAACCCCACCTCTATGGAGCGGCTACCAGCCGCTCCAAGATGAAACAACAACACAAGAGTTCAGGAGGGAGGTGGAACAGAGGATAATCAGAGGGAGGGATGGTGGGCCAGGTCCGTGCAGGGGAACAGGGGAATGACGACTTCCATCGGGCAGCCAGGGCAAAGCAGACAGTTCAGGTGGCCATGGTGGAATGGTGGAGAAGACCCTTCGGGCGGCCGTGGTTCCGGCCTCAGGAGTGGAGACGGCAGGGTGAGCAGCCCAGGCGGAACCGGCAGGGCAAGTCGCTCTGGGCAAGGCGAAACCCGGAGGGTGAACAGTCATGGCAGGGCCGGTAAGGTGAGCCTCTTAGGCAGGGCCAGGAGGGCGAGCAGTTCAGGTGAGCCTGGCAAGACAAGCCTCTAGGGTGGGACCAGGAGGGCAAGCAGCTCAGACGGGGCCGGTAGGGCGAGCAGCTTGGGCAGGACTGGCAGAGCGGGTTTTTCAGGACCAGCGGACGTGACGTGAACCGTCTCTGGCTGGGCGGATGTGACGTGAACCGTCTCTGCTCTGGCTGGGCAGACGTGACGTGAACCGTCTCTGGCAGGGCAGATGTGATGTGGACCGTCTCTGGCTGGGCAGATGTGATGTGGACCGTCTCTGGCTGGGCAGACGTGATGTGGACCGTCTCTGGCTGGGCAGATGTGATGTGGACCGTCTCTGGCTGGGCAGATGTGATGTGGACCGTCTCTGGCTGGGCAGATGTGATGTGGACCGTCTCTGGCTGGGCAGACGTGATGTGGACCGTCTCTGGCTGGGCAGATGTGATGTGGACCGTCTCTGGCTGGGCAGACGTGATGTGGACCGTCTCTGGCTGGGCAGATGTGATGTGGACCGTCTCTGGCTGGGCAGATGTGATGTGGACCGTCTCTGGCTGGGCAGACGTGATGTGGACCGTCTCTGGCTTGGCAGACGTGATGTGGACCGTCTCTGGCTGGGCAGATGTGATGTGGACCGTCTCTGGCTGGGCAGATGTGATGTGGACCGTCTCTGGCTGGGCAGACGTGACGTGAACCATCTCTGGCTGGGCCTGCTATTAACTGCCCGATTGGTTCAGTTCTCGATTTCCTACAAGACCGTTTCTCTGCTGGATTAACTTCCTCCACCTTGAAGGTGTATGTTGCTGCTATATCTGCATTTAGATCCCCTGTGGGGGCTTCTCCTCTTGGGAGAGATCCTCTAATCACTCGTTTTCTCCTTGGAACAATGAGGCTGAGGCCTGCCTTGCAGTCCAGAGCACCGGCTTGGACCTGGCCATTGTACTTGAGGGTCTGGCTTTGGCTCCCTTCGAGCCTATCGAAGAGGTTTCAGAAAAGTTCCTCACTTTAAAGACTTTGTTTCTTCTCGCTATTTCTTCCATTAAGAGAATTGGAGATCTGCAAGCTCTGTCGGTTGATCCTTCATGTTTGGAATTTGCACCTGGTATGGTTAAAGCATTTCTATACCCTAGGCCGGGTTATATTCCTAAGGTCCCTACTAATGTGATGGGTCCTATTGTGCTGCAGGCCATCTGTCCTCCACCTTTTAATACCCCAGATCAGGAAAGTCTCAATCTGCTATGTCCAGTTCGGGCATTGGATGCCAACATTCACAGAGCTGCCCTGTGGCGTAAGTCAGAGCAATTATTCGTCTGCTTTGGCTTAACTAAGAAAGGTTGCCCGGCATCGAGACAAGTAATGAGCAAATGGATAGTTGAGGCTATCTCTATTGCTTATAATGCGATCGGACGTTCCTCACCTATGGATGTCCGTGCCCATTTGACTAGGAATATGGCTGCCTCTAAGGCTTTAATTCCGGGTGTTTCCCTTCAGGACGTTTGTAATGCGGCAGGATGTCCTCTCTGCATACATTTGTCAGATTTTATGACCTAGACCTCTCCACTCCCGGGGCTAGGTTGCTTGCTTCTTAGTGTGCGCTTGGACTTCACACAGAACGGGCATTTCTCAGCATAGCGTAGTGGGTATGGGGTTCCCACCGCGTTCTAACGCAGCTCGAAGTTCCCTTGAAAGGGAACGTCTCAGGTTACGTATGTAACCCTGGTTCCCTGAGAGGGAACTAGAGCTGCGTTCGCCTGCCATACTTCCTGCATACCCTGATCGACTTGCTTCTGGCCTTTTCAGAAGCTGTCGCGGTCTGATTTCAAGGGTGCTTTAGTTTCCTGGTCTATGACGTCACATGACATCCTACTCTCTCATTGGACTAATTGTACAGAGGCTTCACGACGCAATTACGCAGAGCGTTCCCACCGCGTTCTAACGCAGCTCTCGTTCCCTCTCAGGGAACCAAGGTTACATACGTAACCCGAGACGTTTTTGGAACATTAAAAAATGTTAACCAATTCATATTCACTAAAAAAAAAAAACTACAAAAAACCACAGATTTTAGCTTGAGATTCATATTTGCATCTATATAATTGTCAAATTACAGTTTTGCATGCAGCAGAAGTTAAATCTGCTGGTTAATTCTAAACCCATGATCAATATTTGAGAAGGTAAACAACTCTTCCACTCTATCAACCATATATTCCATTCAAACTTTAAACATTCCTTGAGATGTACAGTAGAAGCAAATAATCAAGGAGCTGAAGACTTACAGTTTCCATGAAAGGTCTTATAGCACATTTTTTCCACGATTTGGGACTGAGGACATGGCACTTGGTCTCAAGGACATCTAAATCAAGATAATAGACCTTTCCAGCAAGACCCTACAGCAAGGGAAAGTGGACCTGTTAAATAAACAATATCTTGCAAAAAGGACAAATACATATGACTTTGAATCTGCAAAACAATTTGTCATTAATAATTAATTTAATCATACGAGTAGATACACAAATGCTGTGGTTAGCTTTTCACTGTTAAAAATAACAGCACTTTTTACCAACCTGTTGATGTGCTTGGACGTTTGTGATTCTGTTAAGGGCAAATTTGTAACCTGTTTGTCTGTCCTCATTTATGTACGTGACGGCCAGTCGGGACAACTTCTCCACAATCTTGTCATCGCAGGGAACGTGAACTAAATTCGTCCCCAAGACACACAAAATGTTTGCGGCCAAAAAAATCCAAATCAGAGTAAACATCTTTAATTCGTTTCACAGAAAATGTCCTGCAGAAGGTAAGCAGTTTTAATTCAAATGCAGTCGGTTCATACCATGAGATGAATGTGACTTTGGAATCAGGTTTGATAAACATTAACAAGATGATCAATGTGTTTGACCTGACTGTGATGTAAACAGCATGTGTGCCATAGTCAATGCTAAAGTATACCCCAATCCTATTCAAATTGATTCATAATATACACTTATGAAGTGTTAATAATGTATCACTGAGTGTTAATGAAAATACAAGCCGAATAATCAATCAATAACTTAAATACAAATAAACACTTTACCACAGGAATGCTCGGCTCTCAGTCTACAGCAGAGTTTAGCTCCAACCCAGCAAGCAGCACAAATACTTTAATGTTGATGTGAACAGAAAGAGCTTGATTGGTTGGTTTAGGTGTGTTTGTTTAGAGATGGATTAAACTTTTTGTCTGTTTTCTCATTTAGTCATCATTCTACCACACGATGGCGCTGGAATCGCAATGACGCCAGCAAAAGCTTATGAACAGATGCTGTAGCTGTAGAACTGTAGATGCCCACATACACTGGATCCAATGTTGCGCAGCATTATCTAATTCATGACAGAAAGCAGGCTGTGGTTAAATATCGCCACATCATTGATGGCATCACATGGTAACCTTGGCACTTTCATATTTATTATGATTATCATATCCATGCACCATTTAGCATAACATACACGTTTTTTTTTAGTTTAACATAAAAGGGAGACTGAGGAAACTTCAGAGATTAAGATAAAACAATGCGTTGTCTTTTATTAATAGTTAATAAATTAATCTAAATCTAATGAAGCTCCCATAAACAACTGTGGGAAGTCCCCCTGTGGTGAAAATCAAACTTTTAATGTTGTTTTAATGTCTATACGTGCATGGTATTTTTATATGCTTTCAGAAAAACAATTTGCAAATGCATATGTCGCCACCAAAGACTGTTTCAAACCGTGTTTGTGGTCTCGCCACCAAAGAAAGTCTCAAAAACACGGTTTGAAATCGCAGGTGTTTCTGACGTCACAAAATACCTTGTATTAGGCCTACGTGATAAAATTAAAGGTAATTTATTCTGGCATGTTATTTTCTGCGACTATATCGATTATGTTTTGTGCAAAAGAGATGAGCATATAAAGAGCATATATTTTTCACACACTTGTTTTCACCCTTAACGGTTTAAATTCGTTTATAGACCTAAATACAAAATGACAGACTACAGATGCGTTGAGTTCGGATGACAGATTTTGCGCGAGAGGGAGTGTCCGAGCGCGCGCACCTCTCCAACACACACACTCACAGCAGTCAACACGAGCCTCACGCGCATCCAGTAGCCTATATTCAACCGCACAACGATCCACACACATTTTCGCGAATGTCCTCTGTGAATATGACGTTCATGAGGAAGGTCTGCTGCGTTCTGCTCTGTTGTGTGTTCGAGGCGAGCGTTGCGCGCAGGGCTGAAGAAGCGGAGACTTTGGAGAAGATTGAGAGCGCGCGTTGCGTCTCGCGCTGCCTCACGCTTCACATCACGCAGATCACCGCGTCATTCAAACACCTGCAGGTACGCAATATCTCCCTCTGTCAGTTAGTTTGAAAGTACATCTTTGTATAACCTTCAAGAAAAATCTTTGTTGACACTTATATTGTAACAATAGGAACTTGCTGGTTCTTGAACCATAAAGAAATGGTACGTAAAAGGCAACATACTAACTAAATATCAAATAATTGTTTTGGTCAACAGAAATAGTATGCTAGTGTGTTTGTGTGTGTATCCGCTTGTTTACAAATGCTGTTGCAAAAATAGATGATGATATTAAATAGTGTTTTAAATGAAGTGTTTGAATAACTAGGTGATTGGAACCAACATAGATAACTACTCCATAAATATTAATTTATAGAATTGGTATTTTGATTCATAAACTTCCCCAAGCAGCATGTGACAACTTGACACAGTCTGTCCTCCCTTTACTGTCAAATGCCGAGCTGGGATTCTTTCTGAGCATATGCACTTGGTTTAGTGGATGGGAAACACATTGCTTCATGTGTGTGTGTGTGTGTGTGTGTGTGTGTAAATGAAGTGTTTATTGGCTGTTTTCACCTGTTTTCTCCATGATGTTATTCCCTAACTGACTGGAGATCAGCTTTAGTGCAGTTGCAGTTAATTATGTGGTATTTAGAGCAAGGATCCTGCAAGCATCTGGTCTGACGGGCCACCATGCTCACACTCTCCTCTCCGTCTCTCTGTTCTGTTTGCTGTGCATCTCTTTAACTGAAATCAGCTTATGTTTGTGGCAACCGATTGTCTCAACCCAACCATAATTAAATCGTAATTAGAGGCACGTTATGAAAAACTATCCACTTTAGTATTTCCAGACATTAAACTTTGTCTCTGATCTACTTCTAATGTAATGTTCTCCTCCAGTTCCTGTCTGTAAATCTTGATTTGACTTGTAAATATCTGATTTCATCATAGAATTGCATCTGGATACCAGAGACCCATTTTGTCGCATACATTTTGCATGTGCATGTTTGGTCTAAACAGCTAAATATATTACTTTTGAATTAATTACTAATTATTTTATTTTTAGGATCGGTTGAGACTTTTTCTAAGTGCGGATTAAACGTGCTTTATTAAAAGGGCAGAGAGTGTACCGTCTTATTGGTAGTTGGAGCATGATTAAAATTAGCCAAAATATTTCATAAACGAACATGCAAGGGGAGGGAGATTTGTTGAACATGAGTTCTGTGGTGCAGATGCCATGATGTCTTAAAGTCCCCCTGTAGTAAATCTCATCTTTGATATGACATATTTAAAAGAGTAGTTCACTTTTAAAAAAAAAACTTTTGGTGATAATTTACTCACCCCCATGTCATCCAAGATGTCATCCAAGATCTTCAGTCAAAAAGAAATTAAGGTTTTTGATGAAAACATTCCAGGATTTTCTCCATATAATGGACTTCAATGGGAACCAAACAGTTCACGGTCCAAAAGACAGTTTCAGTGCAAACTGTTCAAATGGCTTTAAACGATTCCAGAGGATGAATAAGGGTCTTATCTAGTGAAACGATCGCTCATTTATAAAAAAATAAATTAAATAAAAAGTTTAAGTTTTATAAGCTCAAATGGTCACCTTGCTCTGCTTATGGAAGTCAATGAGACCAGAAACTGTCTGGTTACTGATATTCTTCTAAATATCAGAAAATCGGCTGAATAGATTTGAAAATGGTAAAACCCAAGTGTTTAACTCTGGGGGAGTGGTAAAATGAGCCTATTTCCAAAAAAAGTAGAGTATCCCTCTAAGTTTTATCAGCTCAAATGCTCACCTTGCTCTGTTCTGTGATGCGCATTCGTGACTCTCCAAACTGTTCATTCAACGAACGAAATGAACAAATTGACTCGGAAAAAGATTCGTTCATTTTGATGAACGAGTTTGAACAGGAGAGTCACGAACGCTCATCACAGAGCAGAGCAAGGCAACCATTTGAGCTTATAAAACTTAAACTTTGTTAATTATTTATTAAATTAGCGATCGTTTCACTTGATGAGACCCTTATTCATCGTCTGGAATCGTTTAAAGCCCTTTCAACAATTTGCACTAAAACTGTCTTTTGGACCTTGAACCGTTTGGTTCACATTGAAGTCCATTATATGGAGAAAATCCTGGAATGTTTTCATCAAAAACCTTCATTTCTTTTCAACTGAAGAAAGAAGGACATGGACATCTTGGATGACATGGGGGTGATTAATTTATCAGCAAAAGTTTTTTTTTAAAAGTGAACTTCTCCTTTAAATGTTTTTCCTGTGAAAAACAAAAAAAAAATCCCCATGCCTTAAAATATCTTGAATGTAACTTGACATGCTTGCCTCAATGCCTCAGTTCTATTAATATGTAAATGAGCCCCACCTCCGCTCACTCACTCAGCTCAGGCCCCGTCCACACTACTGCGTTTTCGTTTAAAAACGGAGAATTAAAACGAAAACGATCTCCGTCCACACTAGCGTTTTACCTGCGTATTAGAATTTATCTCCGTCCACACTAAAACGACTGAAAACGTGGATCACGTGACCATTCACCAACACTGGGCATGCGCGCGCCGGTGTAAACAGTGGTTGGCGAATCAGGGAAAGATACGTCATGACTGATGACACCCAATCATAGAGCCGAGCGTGAGCCTCTGCGCCATCGTTTGTAAACTCCTCCGTTTTGTCTCGTCCACACTAAAACGCCCTCCGGAGATTCAAAACGCAAAACGCAGCTGCAGCGCTTCAAAACTTCTCCGTTTTAGGTCTTCGTTTTTCCCGTTTTAGTGTGGACGGGAGGTGCAAACGTAGCAAAAGGTCTCCGTTTTTAAACGAAAACGCAGTAGTGTGGACGGGGCCTCAGAGATCCACTGGTTGACGATCACACGTTAATCTGATTGGTTACAAGTTTGTTTGTGACGTCAGAAACACCAGCGATTTCAAACCATGTTTTTGAGACTGTTTTTTCCGTTTTTATAGCAGAAAATACTCAGCAATGCTGTCGACTTATGAATTTACACATGGTGTGTCTTAAAGCATATTAAAAACACCACATAGACATATAAACAACATTAAAAGCTGGATTCACACCGCAGAGGGTCTTTAACCACCGATGCCAATGAAGAACCTTAATTTTTAAGAGTCTATAAAGAAGGGAATGGAAAGCTTCCATAGATGTTAAAGAAATTCTTCAGGGAACCATAGATGCCAATAAATGACCTTTATTTTAGAAGTCTGCTCATTACCCATGATCAGTGTTGGGTGTAACTAATTACTAAGTAATTAGTTACTGTAATTTAATTACTTTTCCCTTGAAAATGTAAAGTAAGGGATTACTCTTCATTTATCAGTAATTTAATTACAGTTACTCCTGATGTAATTGAGGTAAATACTGTGTATAGATCAATCTATACACAGCGATTCGTATGCTTTTTTGAGGTGTCTAAATTGTACGACCTGTACAAATTCGTATGAATTATTGTAAAATTTGTATGAAAAAAAAAGTGTGAAATGTCATGAGATCAGACAGAAAACAATAGAGGGTTTAATCCCATCACAAATGTATTGTCTGATGTTAAAAAGTATGTTTTTATAATGTAACCTTCTCTACTTTTTAAGTTTAAGAATAATTGCAATTTTATAGTATTTATTTGAAAGAATTAAAACCGATTCATGTCTATCCTTCTATTATTCAGCTGGTTGAGATTGATATGGGATTTTAAAAGTAATTAGTAATTAAAAGTAATTAAATACTTTTTGGAGAGAGTAATTAGTACAGTAATCTAATTACACTGTTGAAGAGGTAATTAGTAACTAGTAATTGATTACTTTTTTAGAGTAACTTACCCAACACTGCCCATGATGCAACATGTTTTAGAACGAGACCACTGACACTCATATATGATGGAGTGTTGCCTTGTAACTCGCTAACACATTCTTCTGCGAACTTTGGTAAGGCTTCTGAAAAAGCATAAGGGCCTCATAAATTACTCTTACAATTAAATAAGGATGAGATTACTCACACAGACTACAATTCTTCTCAGAGAGTTTCTTTATGCTAAAACAGAATTCCAGCCATAATTTCTGTTTGTGAGACAGGTTTCATGTTACTGCTCAAAGCATAGCTGGGGGTTTTGAAGAAGGTTTCCTCCCATTTTTCCTCAGCCCTTTAAAAGTCAAAAAACCAAATCCAGCTCAGCCTATTCGTCTTGAAAGGGAATGTTTGATGAGTCTCTCTCTCTCATCCTTTGTGGCTGCAGGTGGACAGTTTACGACGTCTCGAGACAATGGTGTTTGTTGTGTTAATGGTGCACATATCCAGTGTCAGCACAAATAGTTATATTGTGGTAAAAATGTAAGTTATGGCACATGACAGGTGTAGAGTGACGAATATCAAACAAATGCAGGCAGAGTTTTCATTTAGGTAGAGTTACACTCCTGCTTTGTTCTCCTCAGATTAAAGAGGTGTTCACACGGTCGCGGGACGTTGCCCAGTCCAGGCGCTGAGTCATTACAACACCCTTCTGGAGAAACTGCATGTAGAATATCAGTCAAGTCATCTTCATTTAGATAGCACTTTTAACAAGACTTTACAGTGATAATAGGAGATTACAGTTACAGAGATTGTTTTGGCTTTATGGCAGATCTAGAATAAAGTTAGTTTTTATTGACAGTACATTTGGATTACACAGTTTTAACACAAACAAACTAATAAACTTAAATGAAACATATAAATGAAACTGGTAAGAAATTAGTATGATTTTTGTACTAATAAACTGAATGTGTTTTAAAAACACAATAACCAAGTTTATAAATGCATAATACAAAATTCCACCTCATACATTTTATCTAATGAATATTGCTTGTTCTAAAGCTATTTCTTTATTAACCATGAAAATCAGATGTACTAATATGTCTTTCAAATGCATTAATTAGAATACTACAAATAAATGTGCATATTAATGTAGTTAATGTAAATCCCCCGAACTGTACTGTTGGTATACTAAACGGATATACTTAAAGTCTGTGAAATTGGAAGA